TTGCATTTGCTAACTTTATTATTACCTTTTCTGTCCGACTAGTTGGGTGATACTAAAACAATTAGACCCTTCGCCCTCAAGGGCCACGGGTCAACAGCTATTGACCCGTAGCCCTTACGGGCTGCGGGTCTAATTGTTAAATGGTCAAATAGCGAGGAGATTATGATATGGCGCACATTCCCTTAAACGGACCTAAAAGCAGTTTTCCTCTATGTGTTTTTTTCCTTATATTTCGTAGTTACGCGAGTTTGATTTGATTTAGGCGATTTTTATTGGCCTTCGGCCTATTTTCAGATGAAAGACCCTGAACTCACGGACGGGACATACCTGCAGGTACGAGAGAACCCGCCCCCAGTGCCACCAACAATATTACTGAGCCAGGAAAATGGAGGCAGTGTAAGTAATATTTCCCTCGGTATTGCTCTCAAACAAGAGAGCATAAAGGGTAAGCAAGTTAACCCCCCAAATAAGCCGTAATTTCAAGGTATCCCTCTGAAGTTACTTTTAAATTCCTGTTGGTTTCTGAAATTCCAGGCAATGCTTTAGCTCACGTGGACAGCTCAAGCGACTTAGTGCGCATTTTCATCCTTCAAGAGATCATGCCACGCATGTAGTGACCGTGATTATCCACGGAGGCACTGGGTACCATGTTTAATAATAGCTTGAGAGGAATCCCCTTGGGGAAAATGGCCTATATTGGAGATTCACTCTCTCACCCTTCATTCTCTCTTCAACGAAATCTCAGACATTGGTCATGGCGACAGTTACCTGTCTGACGAGACAATAAATTCTCGGCTCTATAAACAAAGCATGACTTCTTCACTATTTCCTTTTTTCTTCTACCCATAAGTCCTTCTGTTATCAATGAGTTATCTTTTTCCTAAACTCCTACAGCACAATGAGACTGGTGGAAATGACACTGGCCAACTTAACGTTGCTTTCTCGAGGACTGACAGCAGCATTGACATAAGAAATAACAGCGCTCAGTCTTTGATGGCCGACGAGGATCAAGAACAAAATGACGACGAAGATGAACACGATTCTCTGACTTCCCAAGACATGTTGTCCTTCTCCTGGCAAGTAGCACAGGGAATGGTGAGTAAAAATTAACAACCACAACTTGATCGAACTTTCTTGATGGTGTCAAACGCCAAGCGTCAAACCCTTGTGATTGCCCCTTCCTTAACTTCAGAGGGGATTGCCCTTACTGTTATTGCCCTTACCTTGACCCCGCTCCGGGGGATTCCTATGTAAAAAAGACAGGAGTACATGTCGTACCTTTTTGATTAAATAGCCTTTTTGGTGACTCTCAGAGTGTTAAGCACCCCTGTCCTTTTTAGAAGTGTCTCCCCACGGGGGGCCTTGGCCCTAACCAACTTATCGCCACCACTCTCTTAAAGACTCAGATGTTTACCATGGGTAAATGGTTAGCATCCACAGCGATTATCAATGGTTCTTTTCTTAGCAATATTTGTCAGGAAGGAATATTATTCATCGGGATCTGGCCGCTCGCAATGTCTTGGTCTGCGAAAAGAAGATTGTCAAAGTAGCTGATTTTGGTTTGGCTCGAAGCACCATGACAGAGAATGTGTATCGCGGAACGGGTCAACATAAGAGACTTCCAGTGAGGTGGATGTCACCTGAAGCTATCAGTGATGGTGTTTTCACCGTGAAAAGTGACGTGTAAGTGAATTGAATTTCACCTTTAAAGGAGCTCAGTCACGGAATTTTGAGTTATTTTGGCCACGTACAAATATACCTTTAAACGTTGAAGGACACCTGAAAATAGTTTTTTGGTAAGAGAAAAATACCAAACAGATAATAATAAACACAAAAGGAACAAGGATGGTCAAGGATGGAGAAGATTAACACGGATTGCAAAAGACAAACTTCAAAAATTTAGGCTAAACTTTTCAAGATGTGCAAACAGTGACGTCGCTCCCTCAACTCGCATGTAAATGTTAAGACTCGATCCAATGCTCTGCTTTTTACTATCTTAGTGTGTCTCAAATTTTAGTTTTTTTTAATATTATCGTTGCATATTTGAGAATCTTTCTATATTTTTAAGTTTTAATAGTTCACCTGTTTCATTCTGTAAATATTTATATGAGGGCCACTGTTTTTTTTTGCCTAGGTGCCCACGTGACCAACGTCACGTTGACACGAGGATATGTTGTGAGTTCGGTACATTCCTGTGTAACCATTGTTTGCGTTCCTAATGTAAGGTTCCTGTGATCGAAGGGTGGTAGATAAAAATGGTTCAGACAACTTGCGGGTTAATCAATACGAAAGACAGGTATAAAGGGCCTTTGATTCAGTATATCTACTGTTCTGTGTCACACTCGATAAATAAAGTTGATTATTATTAATACATAAATTTAGCCAAGCCTAAAAGCGGAGCTCCTGGACCGGGTTGTTCAAAGCCCAATTAAGCTAACCCAGTATAAGTGAGAATTTTGAGTTTTGTGACTTTTCGGTGAGGCTTTCTGTATATTGTTTGACCTTCTGTTTCGAATTAAAATAAAAGCAGCAAAAGACATTACATGAACAATTCATACCTCGGTTAACTTTTAATCCTGGGTCAGCGTTAACCGGCTTTCGAACAACCCGGCCCTGATTACAACAAGTCAACCTGACATGAGGTCTCTATCCAATTGAAAACCAGCACTTGGTCAGCGCTTAACTTAAAAAAAACACGTAACATCGATGAGCTCTACACTTGAGCCAGCGATATGGCTACACTGGTTAGCGGATACCTTGTTTTGACAGGTGTCAGTTGACCATAACATGGATGTCCAATATCAAAGAAGGACGCTATAAACCCACGCTCCCTGTGACACACGTCCAGTCTTTCAACCTACAATCATGGACAAAAGTCTTGAGACAAATTTGCACTTTTGGCGCTTTTGCGCACACGCCAGACCTCGTCCCCCACCCCCGATACAATGTTGAAAACTACTACCTCCAATTTCTTCTGATTTTCAACATTGTATTGGGTGGGGAGGGGAAACAGTAACGCGTTTCTAAAAGGAAAGCAGCGCTAAACATCTTTTAGGTACATATGTGACAGTATTGATTCAAACGTCATGGTATGGTTATAAATACAAAGATGATAAACTTTAAGCTCCATTATAGACGCATTGAGAAGCATATTCAGTTTTTTACGACAAAGAACTGTCTACCCGGTGCCTATGATAAATTGAGCAGGGTTCTTTACGATATATCCCAGATCACAATTTACCATTTTTGTAATAGTTTGTAACGTTAACTATCTCATTCAATATTTCCTATTTAGGTGGTCATATGGAGTCTTACTCTGGGAGATTGCGACTCTTGGTATGTTTTTCCTTTCAAATTAGTTGAAAAAAGCGCTCTGTTTCATAAGTAAACAAAGCTATACCTGAAAATCTGTGAATCAGCTGCCTGTAGTCATCGAAATTAACTGCCCTGTAATATTTTGGGCAATTTTGAAATAATGGCGGCGGCATGCACAATTAAAAAATATTATATCTCTCAGTTAATACGCACGCTGTGATTGGTCAATTTAGCCCGCTAAAATTTAAAGCTGTTTTTGTTGCCAAAATTTCTCGTGACTTATCGCCTTGTGTTCGTAACTTTTATAGCAAGTAAAGGTTTAAAAACTTTCTTTTACTTTAAGTTGTGTATTAAAACGTGCTAATGACTTAACAACGATTTCAATGTGACTCGTTTTGCTTTCGACGTGAGTTAGAAATTTGAAGCCGTGAATTTTCTATTTTCCAATTGCCCATATTTTAGTTTGTTTGCCACCACCCCTCCTCCAAAAAGAAAAACATTCATTTGCATAAACTACTGTTGTGAGATGCTTTTGGGACGTCTGCATATTCACAAGAGAATAAAGATCGTTCCCGAACCCGTCAGACACGCGGTAGGGATACAATAAATATCTTACTAACCTCGTCTTCTCAGTCAGTACGTATACTGTAAGTCATGGATCCTCGTTTTTTTCCCAATCTATTTATGGACCAAGCACTAAGCGGTCCATAACTCACAGTACGGACCTCAAACTTGGTTAGTAAGAAGTATTTACCGCGTCCAAATTGGCAATTTGCCAATGAGCAGAGATCTTGTCTTCTATCCTGGTGTTCTGATATATCGAGTCACAGACCCTATAACGCCGCGACCAAGAAGTTGGTCGAATTTGGATACGATATGTAATAATCGTAGGTACCTTTCTGGTTCGCTTTAACAGCACATCAGGCTTGTTGATCTAGCTCACCGTGGTATAAAATAATATTTTGTCTCGGACTGCATCTTTGTCAAAAAGTCTCAAAGTATGAACCGTGACTCAATCAAACTCGATTAGCTGTTGATACCACTCGAGAACATGATCATAATCTCCCGTACCATTACAATAGCCCTTTTCGTGGACAACGTTTCTCGCTTGCAGTACAGTATTCTCTAGCATGTACGTGAGGAGATTTCGGGTTATTTGGTAGCTATTTTCAACCCGAAATTTTCGCCGCGAGAAAAACTAACCGTGAAAAGGGCTGATTCTATTGGAAAAGCAGAAAAAAAGCTTTAGATAAAGTGTAGCTTTTAAGATAAGTTGGAGTCATTTTAGAAATAGTCACGCTTTATTTTCTTCTCAAATGTAATTTGTTAAAAGCATATCTTATTGGATACTGAATTTTATTCAGAGGTCTGAATAATCTGGACTGGAAATCAAGCGATATGAAACATAGAATAAAATTTCAGTTTTTCTCAGAGTCAAAGGTGAGCTTGATTCATTTTTCAGGAGGGTTCCCTTATCCTGGAATCAGAAACAGAGAACTTATGAGACTACTAAAAAGAGGATACAGGATGGAAAAACCAGATACATGCTCAGAGGAGTTGTGAGTCATTTCTGTTGTTGAAGTTGGAGAGAAGAGTAACTTATATAATTACCTGATGAGTTTTGAGTCATTATTTTGCAGAAAGAAAGTCGAAGTGTAAACTAGGTGGAATCTTAAATCGAAAAATAATATTTCGGACCAGCAAAAGAATAAAGGTTATGAATTCGCATGGACTACGCTAAGGGTAGTTTCTACCAAGTCTGAATAATCCAATAGCTGCGGGACCTAAGATTTTGAGGGGTGTTCGTATGAGAGCGATTCCGAGACTTGAACAGAATGTTTCTAAAACGGTCTCTCTCGGTCTTCTCTCAACACAGCTATCATTTGATAACAAGTTGCTGGGCAAACAATCCGGACACGCGACCAACCTTTACCGAGCTGTGCCAAGATCTAGAGGACTGGATGCAAAGAGACACTCCTTATTTGGACATGGACCAGGTGGATGAAGATCAACCTTACTACGATGCGTCTGCAATGTCAGCGTCCAGCGGATCATCCTGCGAAGAACATGCACCAGTGTGTCCTGACTTAAACAACACCGCAGAAAATCTGTCTTGTGGTATTCAGGATGTTTAACTCGAAATTACAAACTTTTAAAGAAAATTAAAACGTCAGAGCAGTAGTAATATACACGTAGGCTAAAAGTCTGATACGATCACAGGAATTCGCCGTTCGCCTAGTAAAGCCGGCCGCGTCCTCCCGCCTGGGGCTACCAGAGTTATTGCTTTCAGCCCCGGGGCCCCAGCTTCTCCGATCGGCCGGTCGTTGCTGGTTCTCATTTCCGACTAAAACCACGTAATAATAATAATAATAATAATAATGATGATGATGATGATGATGATAATAAAAATAATTTCTTAAAACATAATCAAGCGAATATTAAATATTAATATATAGCCGGCGTTTCAGCGTTATCGTGGCACCATTCTCAACGCAAAGTGAATAAATAAATGAGAAGATTTGATTTCTATACTTAACAGTCTCTACAAATTAGCATAATGACAAAGGATCGCAAGCTCTTCAAGTGAGAATAGTGTCACGATGACGCCGAAACGTGAGCTCTTAACTTAACTTTAATATTCGCTCGCTTATGTTTTAAGAAATCATTATTGATCAAGACTAATAATAATAATAATGATGATGATAATAATAATAATTGTTATAATTTTGTTTACAAATCATCGAATAGTTACAAAGCAAACAAATATTGAAAAAATTATTAAGTTACGAGCTATAATAAAATAATCCTTTGTTACAAATGACATGAGATAAAAAACAATATAATGGCTCAGCTTCCAGAATAATAATAATAATAATAATAATAATGATAATCCTATAATAACTTACGCCATGATTATCTGGTCATGTCGTGATAAAGAATCTTAAAATATAGTCTTGAATTCGAAGGTGCAAAAAAGGGCGGCTAGGGTTATTCTGTCAGCCAATAACGATTCGCCATCTGTACAGTTATTTAGTAAGTTGAAATGGAATCAGGGTACTTTACCCAATTATTTATACAAACATTTTACAGTTAATAATCGCGTTCATACCAGAAATACTAGATATGCTAATTTTAACTTAGTTTGTCCTAAAAATATACGTGAGACAAGGTGGAAAGTCCTTCTTGGTTAGATCTTGCAAACTTTGGAATAGTTTGCCTTTAGAAATTAGACGTAAGGATGTTCCTCCTACTTTTAAAAAGTGTTTATGGACTGTAATTTTCAAAGAACAGCTTAAGTTGAAACATTTTATATTTAACTTGATTTAATTGTTTTAATATGTATTTTTCTAGATTTTTACATATATATATATATAGGTATAGCTTTTTGTCATTTGTATTTTCGCTTTTTGAGTATTGGAGGGCCACAGGTTTATTAGCTGTTAGCTACTTAGTGTTACCCTCACTAAATAAAGTGTTTACTTACTTACTTACAATAATAATAATAATGTTGTCATAATAGTTGCTTTTTTGATGTTTATATAAGGTTAAAAGTTACTAAAATTTTTAAAAACCAAAGTGTTTTCGACCGTACGGTCATTATCAGTGATACATGATGGAGATGTACATACAACTTAGTTTTGGTCGATTAAGTTATTCCCGAGGGGTAAACCACTAATTTATTATTGTAATAATCATATTATTAGTTTTTTATGTGCAACATCAATTGTTTTCAATAAACCCCGACTGCTCAAACCTAATATAAATTAATCATGTCATTTTGAGCAGAGAATATTTTTCTTGAGTATTGTGCCACGGTCCATGTCAACACCAGTTTCAAAATATCATGGACAGGATACTCAAACTACAAAGTTAAAATGTACATGCATAAGTCATAAGTACATGAACAAACTTGTACTCCTGTGACCCCTTTTCCAAGTGTGAGCCCCTCTTTTTAATAAGTGTTCCCCTTTACCATAAATGACCCATTTTTTTCAAAGTATGACCCATATTTAAACGTTTGACCCTTTTTTCCAAATGTGACCCATTTTTTTCAGTGTGACTCATTTTCCCAAGGGTGATATATCCTATTTTCCAATTGTGGCCTCCTTTTTTCCAAGTGTGACCCATTTTTACAGGTGTGACCCTTTTTTCCAAGTGTAATCCATTTTTTCAAGTGTAACCCATTTTTTTCAAATGTGACCCAGCTTTACAGGTGTGATCCTTTATTCCAAGTGTTACCAATTTTTCCAAATGTGATCCATCTTTTTTAGGTGTGACCCACTCTTCTAAGTGTGACACATTGTCCCAAGTCTTACGTATTTTTCCAAGTGTGACTTATTTTTCCAAGCGTGACCCATTTTTCCAAGTGCGACCCATTTTTTCTAAGTGTGACCCTCTTTTCTAAGTGTGACACATTTTTCCAAGTGTCACCCATTTTTCCAAATTTGACCCCTTTTTCCAAGTGAACCATTTTTCCGAATGTGACCCATTTTTTCAAGTGTGACCCATTTTTTTAGGTGTGTCACATTTTTCCAAGTGTCATCCATTTTGATAATTGGTAATTGAACGTGAGATAATCAAAAACGTGTGTGTGCTGTTGAAAACAAATGGTACCCGTCACAAACACTACATTTTTTTTACCATCTACCACAATCGATTCGTACGTTTTGGTCATAATCAGTCGGGTTAATTAATCTACGAATCCAATTTTGAGTGAGCAAGTTTAATTTGAACGGAAGTATGACAACATTTAATTCACAAAAAAGTAGGAACAATGAGAAAATTAAAAGTTGAACTTTTTTGCCATTCTGCGAACTTCATCGCTAGTAGACGCCAATTTAGTCAATCAAATTTCGGCGAGTTTGTCAATGGATAGACACTGGCGTGATCTAAATCAACACACTTTACTAAGGTTTTCTGTTTTTCTTTTAAAAAAGATATAATTTCATTGATATTATACTACGAGTGGTATTTGTGTTAATCATATTTAATATGAAGAACTTCACCTTCAATCTGCTGGACAGCAGGGACATGATAATAGGAATCATCACCGAATGGTTTGAATTGAACGATATAAATAAGTTTCTTTGCAAAAGAAGGTTAACTTCCAGACTGAAGTCGGGTCAGTTTCACCAAACCTTAAACTTTACCTTGCAAATAGTTCGCAGGGTGCCCATATAAAGTTAAACAAACTTTCTTAACTTGCTGTCTTCCGTCAGATAAAACAATATGCATCCGACCTTTTACCGTAAAAAGTGCGTTAGTTATTTGGCTGT